CACACGAAACGAGTCGCCGCTGCACCTGAGATGATCTTCTTCCCATCCGAGGAGAAAGAACGCCGAGCGGGCGTACGTGCCCGGGGGAACGCCGACGCCCCTCCACCCCCGCCGGCTCACCACTTCCTCTTCCTTTTCCTCCTTTTCGTTCTGTTAGGGTTAGGGAGCATCGCAATCTGCGGAGAATTCTTTTTAAAAGAGAATGATGCGCGCCAGTAAACGAGACAGGTTAGGTTAGGTGAAGTTCTACGCGGCTACAGACACGAAATTCGAGCAGGTTTAGGGATCTGCAATTTTCTACCTCCTGCGAAGGAGAGTTGCGATGTAAATTCTAAGCTGAATATTAACTGAGACACTGTTATTTTTTCTAGAGTATTAGAATTGCTAACATGTTTTTTTCATGATCATCGTATTCTAGTCATTAAAGTTCATGCTTGAGAATTTATAAAACGTTCTTGAGCAAATCCTAAACGATTTCTATACTATTACTACATTTTAATAATATTATCACTCTTCATACATAACAGGATTTTTTTATGTTTTGTGATGTGTGCATACTGAACACCATCTGTGTTGAGAGACAATTTCATACAAATTTTATTGCCAATGGTGCAGTGGTGCCAAAAGGGTACATTTTCACGCCAATATGGGTCTAGGTGATACAAGATAATACGAAATAATTGTGATTCATTGCGACTATTTGACGAGAAAACTTAGACATCGTAGACTGAGCGCTGAATAGGATGTAACTGAAATTGAAAAGATAATAAAAACTTATCCAATAGGCAGTTTCTGACTCTTATCATAAATCAGTGCACCTTATTATCAGCGAATGCGACTGAATCACAGAGAAAAAAGAAAGAGGCAATTCGCCTCCATACCTGTCTGGAAGACGTACCTGTTCGCAAATACATTCCTTTATATTTGATTGTCACACTTGTCTGCCGTGTTTAGTGCCAAAGCTGGGGCACTAAATTGTCCGAAACCAAATTACCAAATTATAAATTGTAAATTATACATTCATACTACAGCGAGTTTTTACTTACAAATACTTACCACTTACTCATTTCCACAGGCATTGTACACACCGCAGTATCCGCTAACTGTTGAATGCCTCTGTCGCAGGAGATCGAGCACTGCTACTACCACGGCACCGTCAAGGACTACCCGGGTGCCACGGCCGCCTTCCACACGTGCAACGGGGTGTCCGGGGTCATCCACGTGGGCAACGAGACTTTCGTCATCCATCCGTTCTACGGCGGGGACCTCTCGGTGAGTAGCCGTCCTGGGCGCTGCGCGGGATTCCTCGCTGTACAGTGGAGCCGGATGGAGGGAACGGGAATGGAAAGGGAATGATTGGATTGGAAAATGTTGCATTGGTATGGAAAGGGTAGGTTTGGTATGGGAATGGTTGCATTGGAGTGAGAAGGGTTGCATTGGAATGGGAAGGGTTGGATTGGAATGGGAAAGGGTTGCATTAGAATGGAAAAGTTTGCTTTGGAATGGGAAGGGTTGAATTGAAATGGGAAGGGTTTCATTTAAGTGAGAAGGTTTACATTTGAATAAGATTTGTTGCATTGGAATATGAAGGGTTTCATTGGAATGGGGAAAGTTGCATTGAAATGGGAAGAGTTGCATTGGAATGGGATGGGTTGCATTGAAATGCGAAGGGTTTCATTTGAATGAAAAGGTTTGCATTGGAATGGGAAGGGTTGCATTGGAATGAAAAGTGTTAGAATGTATTGAGAAAGGTTAGTTTGAAAGGGAAGGTTTGAATTAGAATGGGAAGGATTGAATTAGAATGGGAATAATTCGATATCATAAAAACGGGAAAAGTTGAAACGAGATGAGTAGGGAAAGTTGGGAATGAGGTATGACGTAGAAAGAATTGATTTGTAATGTATAACGATTTTATTACCAATGTTTTAATTGTCATGCTTTAAAAAAATCATATTTTAGTTTGAATGTGCCAACGTGCTTTTTGATATACTCATATTGGTCTAATGATGAAGTATGGTGGAATTTGAAGAATAGAAATCAAAGGTGTTGTATCTACCACCATTTTATCACAAGGTGAACAGCTCTTCATCATTTGCAAATCTGCCTTCTGGAAGTCATGATTAGCGTACGTCATTGTTCTAGGAGTACAGTCAAAATAATCGTTATAATATAAATTATGGGAAGCACTTATTCATCATCTATTCATCTCTCCAACTGTAGATCTACTAGTGTCCCAACTGTGTGTTTGACAGAGCACGTGTAATGAGGTAAATGATGGAATTCCAGTACCGGTGCCCTCGCCCACGGTCCCGACCGCAGCCAAGTCACAACCGTGTGTTCACACACAAGTCTAAATATCCATCATTTGATCCCCTTCAGTTGACTTGGATGCACAGGGCGTTTACCCTCTTCTAAATCCACAACCGTGATAAGGCAGGGACAATTTACGCTATAATCACTTTTCAAAACCAATACTTACCTCATCCTAAAATGTTTGCGGATTTCAGAGCTATTCTTTTGGCAACCGAAACTGAATATTCTTGCCTATTGCCATTTACGTTCACAGGTATAATTTTCCCTCTCCAAAATTCGTGGTTGTGAAAGGATTTTATGTTCTTAATTTACTTTATTGTAACGATCAAATAGATAATCTTCAGTAATCAAAACTCAATTATTATTTTAATCCTATTTATTATGAAATTTTTAATTCATCATATTCGCATCTTGACAAACTCTAACGATATTATAGATATTTACTAAATTTATTAGAATGCAAGCCAAAGTTTAAATGACTTCGTATTTTTCCTCATAACGCGTTTGCAGAAATAGTCGGACGAGTGATATTATCGCATTGTCAAAAGAGTACTTAGAATCTAACAAATAATTAACAAATGACTAAAATCTTTCCTCCGAAACAAATCGTGCTTTACTCCTACAAACGTCTAATTTTTATTGTCAATTTAAACTACAAATTCTATTAACTATTTAATAAAGTCCCTACACATCAGTCTATGGAAAAAAAATATCCTGGATAAAACAAAAAAGGTTCACGTAATTACAGAGGAATGCTCTTCAAGAATAATCGACCGTTTGCGTGAGCATGATACTCGGAAAATTACGTGTAACTCGCCCCCGTGACATTCAGCCCCCGCATTGCAGCATCTCCAAACCGCAGACGGTGTTCCAACATCGCTACCATCGCCAAAACCCTTCGCCCCCGCCCCCACTGAGAAGTCTGTGAGTACGACAGATGTGACCAATCATACCCAAAGTTTTTCCACGATTTCGTAAAAAACAGGAAAACAAAAAACTTTTCAAACAACGCTTTTTCAAAATTCCGTTTCTTCCCGTTGGGCCCGCGAATGACAACCAAAGCGCCTGCATCCCCCTGTGAACAGGGTTACTCCCACACCTTCAAAACCTTCCTTCTACAATATTTAGAAGTAGCTTTAAATTAATGAACACGTACGTTATAGGCGTGGGTATGTGACGTTAGACAGATTGTAAACCAATCATCCCCGGAAGTTTACACTATTTTCGTAAAAAACAGGTAAACAAAACTTCGAAACAACGCTTTTTCAAAAAATTCCGTTTCGCTTCCCGTGGGCCGCGAATGACAACAAAGCGCCTGCATTCCCCTGTGAACTGAGTTACTCTCCACGCCCTTGAAAAAGCGCGCGGTAAACTACAGGCGGGCGGGGCGTGTGTGCATTCCGAGCAATTTCCGGCGCTGGGAGCGGCGTGCGTTGGGACAACAGCCAGTCAACACGAAGAAGCCCGCCGCCCGCCAAGCCCCTACGATGGAGTGCTGTGCAAACAGCCGCGCCGCCGCCTGCCGCCGGCCCGCCACCGCCGGCCCGCAACGCCCGCGCCGCCCGTTAATTACTGCGAGGTCGGCGCGCCGCGCCGCCGGCAAGCTTCCCTCTTCCGCGTTCCGGCGAAGCCCGCCGGCGGACGCGTCCGGAGGTGTGGTGGTGGTGGTGGTGGTGATTGTGAAAAGCGTTTTAGCCCGGAGAGGGAAGAGAAAAAGGGATGTGGGTGTCGGGGGTGGAGTTGGGAGGAGGGGTTTTGGTGAGGGGCTGTTTGGGTAAGGGGGATTCGGTGGAGGAGGGGTTCGGTGAGGAGGCGTTTTTGGTGAAGGAGTTAGTTCGCGTGAGGAGGTGTTTCATGGAGGAGAGTTTCAGTGGAGGAGGAGGTTTCAGTGGAGGAGAGGTTTAGGTGGAGGGAGAGGTTTAGGTGGAGGAGAGGTTTAGGTGGAGAGAGGTTTAGGTGGAGGAGAGGTTTAAGGATGGAGAGAGGTTTAGGTGGAGGAAGGGGTTTAGGCCGAAAAGAAGGGTTAGGCGGAGAAGGTTTAGTGGAGGAGGGGTTTTAGGTGTCGAGGAGGGGTTTAGTGGAGGAGGGTGTAGGTGGAGGAGGGGTTTAGGTGGGAGTAGGGCTTTAAGGGATGAACGAGGGGTTTCCGGTGACGAGGGGTTTTCGGTGACGAGGGTTAGGCGAGAGGGGTTTTAGGTGGAGGAGGGGTTGAGGTGGAGGAGGCGTTTAGGTGGTAGGAGGGTTTAGGTGGAAGGAGGGGTTTAGGTGTGAGGAGGGGTTTTAGGTGGAGGAGGGTTTAGGCTGGAGAGGGTTTAGTGGAGTAGGGCTTTAGTGTGAACGAGAGGGGGGGGGGGGGGGGTGGTTTCGGTGGGCGAGGGGTTTCGGTGGACGAGGGTTTTCGGTGGACGAGGGGTTTCGGTTGACGAGTGTTTCGGTGGAGAGGGGTTTAGGCGCGAGAAGGGGTTTAGGTGAGGAGCGTGGTGTGAGTGCCGTGCAGGGGGTCAGTGCCGGGGAAGCATTAGGGGGTCTGTGGCAGAAGGGTTGGTTGGCGGTGGGGTCGGTGATGAAGGGAGGGTGGTGAAGGCCCGATTGTCGGTGCAGGAGTGTAACGGAGGATCGGTGTTGAGAGACGGACGGCGGTGTCGTGGCGGAACATTAGAGTTGGCGGTGCGAGGGTGGTGGAGAAATGGAATAGGTGGTCGGAGTCGAGCTCTCGGGTTCGGAGTCAAAGGTGGTATGAGACGTGGATCATTGAGGAATGATGGTTGAGGCCGAAGCCGGAATCGGCACAAACGCTGAAGAAAGCTTGGCGGGATCGATTGGGTGGTGGTAATGTTGGGGACGATGACGTTATGGGCCTTGCGTTGTGGCGTGGCGTTAGTGGCCGTGGCGTAAATTGCGTGGCGTTGAGTGTGGTGGCCCTTGGGGTTGAGGCGTTGTGGGCGTGGTGTTGTGAAGCGGGCCCGTTGTGGGCGAGGTTGGACCGAGGCGTTGTGGAGAGCGGTACCGTTGATGGGCGTGCGTAGTGGTTCGTGGCGTCGCGCCCGTAGCTCTTGAGCGTGGCGGTTGGGAGCGTGAGATTTTCGGCGCGGGACGTTAGATGCGTGCGTGGAGAATTTGTTGTTGAGCGTGGCTTTGGGAGCGTGAGGTTTTGGGGCGCGACGTTAGATGCGTGCGTGGAGGAATTTGTTGTTGGAGGCGTACATGGCGTTGGGAGCGTGAGTTTGGGGCGCGACGTTAGATGCGTGCGTGGGGAATTGTTTTTGGAGGCGTGGCTTGGAGCGTGAGGTTTGGGGCGCGACCGTTAGATGCGTGGCGGTGGAAATTTGTTTTTGGAGCGTGGCGTGGGAACGTGAGGTTTGGGCGCGGCGTTTGATGCGTTGGCGTGGAGAATTTTGTTGTTGGAGGCGTGCGTTCGGAGCGTGAGGTATTGAGGCGCGACGTTAGATGCGTGGCGTGGGGGGAATTTGTTTTGGAGGCTGCGTTGCGGAGCGTGAGGTTTGGGGCGCGACGTTAGATGCGTGGCGTGGAAGGGGGGGAAAAAATTTTTTTTTGTTTTTGGTTTGGAAAAAAGGCGTGGCCGTATGGGAACGTGAGGTTGGCGGCGCGGCGTTAGATTTTGCGTGGCGTGGAGAATTTGTTGTTGAGGCGTGCGTTACCGTTGAGGGCAGTAGTG